AAAAAGATTTTAGGTTTTAAGTGAATTGAAACTCCTAGATCCTTTGAGATTCATTGAACTTTTGAATGGCATTTTTAAATCTCAATTGTGCCCTTCAAGTTTGTGACTGGGATGTCGAGGATGATAAACAAGGTGTGAATAACCATGCAAATTAGCTTGGTACACTTAATGTTACAGATCACCTAATTAATGTGCCGGTTAACCACACACGCTCCATTTATCTATGATTAACATCAAGGTACCCTTTGCCACACACTGTCAGCCCCAGATTAGTGTGCCGGTTAACCACACGCGCTCCACTAACAACTTAACAAGGTGCAAAGTGCAATTTCATGGGTTAGCACCAAATTCACATTTTTCCTAAGTAACTAAGATTAGGAATTTATAAGTGTTTAGTTACTTAGTATTTCATTACACTTTTAATGAGAATTATTATCCTTTCAAACCCGTTCGGCTAACGACCCTCCACCAGTCAAAAAAGCGGTGGGTGAGAGTGGACACCCATTAAACTGCCATTTTATAGGCAGTAACCTTATACCCCCTTATAGACCGGCTTCGTGAATGAGGCCTACTAATGGTAAGACTAACTTTACTCTTATACATATATATATATATATATAAATATTAAACCTATAATATTATAATAGTATAAGGGTTGAATTTTACACTTTTAAAATTATAGGGTTTGGAACTAAATGTTTCAAAGTGAGACATTGCATTTACAAATTCCAAAACTTGAGGGCAAATTTGGAACTATTCAAAAACTTTTGGAATCCATAACTTATGAGTTTAATATAGGTTTTATGAAAATACTCTTGACATTCCATAACTTGAGGACAAGTTATGGAGTTTATAAAAACATTTATGTAAAAGACTCTTCATGTTCCATAACTTGAGGACAAGTTATGGAAGACATAAACCCATTTTATGATGACATTTAAAAATGAGACTTTTCACTTTCCATAACTTGAGGACAAGTTATGGATTTCATTAAAAACATTTAGATCAAAAATTGTAACTAACAAAATCAAACAATTCGCCTATGATCTAATTAAACTCGTAAGTTAAGATAATTCATATCAAACAAGTTTCAAGAAATTAGCCTAATCATATAAACTAATATAAATCATGAAACTTTGAAAATTATATTTTATTTGGATGAGAATCATCATTACCATATCAACAAAATCAGATTTTATGAAATAAAACATTTCGTGGTAATGATTCTAATCCAAAACAGGTCAAAAAAACTCGAAAATCTGCTCGTTGGAGCACCAACTCGGCGAGTACATAAACTGGACTAGTCGAGTTGGAACTTTTCTGAGTGGACCCGGCGAGTTCACTATCCAGAATGCAGAAAATTCGATTTTTTTGCTTTGAAAACCAATAAAACATCAAGTATAGTGGAAAACAATCCTAGGCTATGATACCACTGATGGGTTTTGTATACTACAACATCGTATGGTGCACATACAACCCTAAATGCTTTGGATCTATGTTTTCTCTAATTATACATTCAATATTGTTACCAAAGCATTAAGCCTACAACTAGCATACAAATGACATAAACGACATAGAAATGAGTTGTAGAATTACCTCTTTGTTGTAGCTTGTAGTTTTGGCCTTTAAGAACTTAGCACCAATAATGTGAATGCCTCAAATGGAATCGCAACACACCTTGGACAAAGGGTGACTTTTGAGAGAGAATTCCTTGCTCTAAAAACGCCTCATATGAACTCCAAGAACATCGGTCACGATTTTAGCTATGGAGCAACATATATATATTGTAGGATTCCAAGGGTCATGGGTAAACTCTAATCCATACCCATGGGTTTATGATCCATGGTTCATGTGGCCCAACTCTTTATGTATCCATACATAAACTTACTCCAACATGGATCATAAGCCCAAACATATATATAACTAATTTACACAATTAGTCCCCATTGATTTAATTAGTCTCTTTTGATCACAAAATTAATTCCAAATTAATTCTTGATCAATACTAATTAAATCATATGATTTCATATTAATATATTAGAACTTATAATATATTAATAAATCATAAATAACCTCTTCTCAAAGGTCCATCCTATCAAGTTGTCCAGGTGATATGCAACCTAAATGGACTATGCTACTCTCGGGTCAAGTACATACCAATTATAGTTATGAGCTTAGACACCTAATCCAACAGTATAATGACATGGTTTAAGTTTAATTAAATCAAGAGTATAGTTTAATTAATAGATTAAACCACTTAGTATTTTAAAAGTTTAAAATACACTCTTATACTAGAACCCAACAGTAGCTCAGCTGGTTAGAGTAACGGATGGAAAATACTTGTGTCAGTGATTCAAATCCACTTGGATTAACTATAATAATAATTCACTAGCATGATTAATAATGGTAATGGTGAGGTGTGTGTTTCGCCCATGTGAAAGGATTAATTAATTTAAAATGGGAATATACATATCGGGGTTAAAAGAGTAGCAACCTAATTTAGGTTCGTGCCCTTATGGGATATCGCAGTGGAAGGATATCGTTGGAGGAAAAGAGCTTAAGCCAAGTCGACGTCGAATGATTTTCTAGTTGACCATTTCGAGACATGGTCCGGGTACACGTACGTGTACAGGGACTGGAGTGATGTCGGTGATCTTGGATGCCATGTATAAACATCACATTTGGGTGTAGATATGCTCGCGGAGGTACCAAATACCACCCTCGAACGACAATGCATCATGCTCTTACATGCAAGGTCAGAGTAGTGAAGGAGGAGAACCAGGGATAGTGTTACGGGTGGGAGTCACGCCCCATTTGGTGCACTAGGTCGCCAGGTCACGTTAGTAGCGAACGGGGTCTTTATTTGGGGAGTGTTAGCGATAAAATAGACCTAAGTTAGCGAGGGACATTAAAAGTAATTAAAGTGAAATAAATAAATTAATAATTACTGCGGTGAAAGAATGTCTGGATTAATGTATATATGTATATGTTAATAATTATCGACGTATGTTGCATGGATTGATGTGTTTGCACGAGTTGACATGATGTATGTGTATGTTTTGTTTCCATGCTTTTGTGCTTGAGATTGACTCACTGTGCTGATGCTGACACTTGTTTCTTGTTTGCTGTTGTGGCTTTTGCATTGGTACATGTATTTTGATATTGATGGCCCGTGATCAGGTTAGAATCTTTTGGGTAGTTATAGTCTTTTGCTTAGAAGTGATGATATCAGTTTAATACTTCATGTGATGTTTCATTTACTCTTGGTTTTGATGTTTGTTTGGTTGGGTTTTTTTACAACTTTGGATTTTGATGGATTATTTTTTAAAGATTTTTCTAATTAACCATTGGTGATATTTTTATAAGACTTCCGCTAACGTTTTCTGATAATAATTGTTTAAAATAAAAGAAAATTTCGGGTGAAAAATCATGGTGTTACAATATATATGTCGACATATCGTGTGACGAGTTGAGGACGGTCCAACTTTGTGTTGAAGGTCAAGATACTCGGAGCGGACCAGCTTTATGCTAAAGGCCAAGGGTGGACCAACATTATGTTGAAGGTCATGGGTGGACCAATTCTATGCCGAAGGCTGAAAGGGGCAGACCAGCCTTGGGCTGAAGGCCAATGTTTGTATGCTTGCATGTACTGTGTGATGTATGGTATTTTGGGGAACTTGTTAAGCTTTGGATTACAGTTGTGGATCAAATGTTCCGGATACTTCTGAGGACCGTGGGAAGGCGAAGGCGTAACTATACACATTCATCAGCAACTTACATGTTTGAGATTTCGCATTGTTTATGATACTCTGATTTTTGGGTTTATGTCTTATAGAACAAATGATTTTTACGATGTTTGATTTATGAAAATGAATTTTATCCTATTTATAAATTGAAAATTTTATTGTGAAAATTGGGACGTTACAATCCTCCTGCAACCTTTGTAGTGTGGGAAATTTGTAACCGTTCCTTTATCTCGTTTTTTATGTCTCTCTTGTGCCGCATACAGTCATGGCAATTCGCGTATTCGTGTCGTTTTCATGTGTCAGACACGAATTTGACACGACATGAATACACGTTGAGAAATAAGCTTTATCTCCCTTTTTAAGATGTATTCATGACATGTCGTGTCACACATGAATTCGTGTATTTGTGTCTCGAATTGCCAGGTCTACACAACACTAGTGAACGACTAACCCCGATGTATAATATGTGTATCTATATAACGTATATATGTTTTAGGTTTGAGGCGTATAATGCGATCGGGAAGCAAGAACGTTTAACTATGGTGATTACCCACTTACTTCTCATTTTATCGCAATAACGATCGAGTAAGGGATTGAAAGAGAGTGCACAACTGTTGTGAACTAATATGATGGTACATAATATCTAGGGTGACTGTGTTCTACATAATCCGACAACGAAGTTAACAAAAAGTGTTATGAAAAAACAACAATGGTATTTTTTTAACATTTTGGAAACTTCAATGATATTTTTTGTACGAGATGTGTACTTCGTTGGTATTATGTGTACAAACGGTATACTTCAATCGTATTTTTTGTACTTAAAAAAATAATAGTATTTTTTGAACATTTTGAAAATTTCGTTACCCTTTTAAATCATTTTTTTCGTTACCTGAAATAACCGGTTACCACAAGGTTTTATTAGAACACATGTGCATTTCGTTGGTATTCTGTGTACAAACTGTATATTTAATGATATTTTTTATGATACAAAAAAATAATATTTTTTCTAGTAATTTGAAAACTTCGTTATACTTTTAAATCATTTTCCTTTTTTAATATAGTTTTTTTCGTTTTAGTAAATTTAGTAAATTAGGGTGGTTAATTAGCTAACCCAATAAAATACGAATGAGTATTTTCCATACAAAATCCAACTTTAAGCAAATACTTGGAACTGCTTAAAAGTTAAGGGTCTTTTTCGTAGTTTTCGTAACTTAACTTTGTCTTTTTAGCCACAAAATCTGAACAAAAATCAGAGATTGTTCCTCAACTCCGCCATGGCGTTGCCATTCAATGTTTCTCAAAATCATTTCTTTTCATACGCTCATACGACACGATTCCGAGCACCATGCATCAATAGCAGACACCCACGAAGGTTAAGCGTGATGAATTCGAAGAAGAGCTGTTTGAGGTGCAACACTCCATATCAAGACAAAGATAACTCCGCATCTGCTTGCTCTTTCCATGGCCACGCCAATGGTAAATTGTAAATTAAATTTTTTCCTTGTCAATTAAGCCCTTTATCTTTCCTTCTAATTTCTTAATATACAGCAGTCGTTATCGTTTTTAATTGTAATTTTGTTACAAAACGTTAACACGTCATAACATACTTACATGAACGAAATCTTGAATATCCTGAATCCTGATACAATGATAAGGTAAGATCTTTGTAGATGATTCATAGTGCTAGCTAGTTGTTTGGAATCTTTATTTTTACCTATAATAACAAAGTACTTATATTTGTTTAGCAATAATGGAATTTATAACTAATCTGGGCATAATTGTATGTAGAATTTGTGTAGTAGCTTATAGATTTTATTTCTTGAAAATTGAAGTTAGAGATATAAAAGGAAGCTTCATTCAATCATTTTATCAAACACTAATTGTGCAATCGGAATATGCATTACATTATTACATATATTGGTGGTAAGAGTAAAACAAATTGATTTCTCGCGCAATTTGTCCTTTCAAATAAAGGCCAGCTTACATTTTTTGCAGCCATGTTACTGATTTATATAACCATGTTTCAGTTTGTTACAAATTTGAAACAAGAAATCCACTTTGATGCATAAATTGTTAAAAAAAAACATAAATTTAGAGTGTGGTTGATGTGTAGGTGATAGAGGATTATTGGCATTGGCTCCACCTCACCAAGGGATTGATGGTGAATGGAGTGATGGGTCAGGGGTAATTGTGTACAAATGGAATGAGAAAAGTGATCGACCAAATACTGGAAGGCCAAATTGGAAAAAGAGATGGAGTTGTTGTGGTGTGTATGATGAGAATGCACCACCTTGTCGCCAAGGTTGGCATGTTTCCTATGATGACGGCTTTACTTTATACTAAAATTATATTGAGATAATATGATATTGCATTATATTAGATTTTTAATGTGTATGTTAAATGTTTTATATATAGTTCAAGCATCTAAGCATCTTGTATATGCATTCAAACCTGCTTTTATTAAGGCTTATTCTTTTTTCTTATTTTTCCCCATTAAATGATTCCAAGATAAACGATGTCTAGAAAATCAAATGTACTTGAACCCATTGACTATTTCTAAAAGTATAACACCATGTTTAGGAAAAATGTAATCGTTAATAGGATTAAATGCAAAAAGTAGCAACCTATTTTCACTGATTTTGTTTATTATAGCGTTTTTTTCTATTTTTTACCATTACAAAATTGTACCTTAAAATATCGTCATAGTCACAGCCCTATTAACCACTTATTTAAGTCATTTTCACTACCATAATTGAATAGATTATCCCAGCAATAATCTGAAAAAAAAAAAAACAAACAAACTACAATGTTATATTTTGGTGGGGTTTTCAAACTACAATACGATGTTGTTAACAAAAAAAATTAAAGTAGGATGCTATAACATGCAAATGAAAATAAAGTTACAGGTGACATGTAAATAAAATGTTCTTGAACCCGTTTTGACTATTTCTAAAAGTATAACCAACACCATCTAGGCCATATGTCATTATTAAAGATATGAAGAAAAATGTAATCTTTAATAAGGAATATATGATTTACTACTAACAATATATTATACAAACACATGATCACAATCATTAGTTCATTCTCACACAATCAAAATCGAATCATTTCTATCCAACAGTCTTGAAAGATTCATGAATATGCTTCAATGTTTCTTGGTCTTTTTTCCACTCTGCTGCAGGGGCCATTACAAAATGTGCATACAATTTGTTCCTTGCACATGTAACTGAAATCAAACTATGTGCACTAGGGCTATCGATCTCATACACATAATACACCTGCCCTTTATCATCTTTTGTCTCTTCAGAGCTAACGCTATCTGCTCCGGCGATCAAATCCTGCAAATTGACATCGGAAAGTGCCAAATTGTTCAGAACTGCTTCTTTTGGGGCTAATTGCCGGAGTCCGCCGAGGAAAGTCAGGTACTCTTTTTCGGTTCTCTTTTTGGGGTTGTAGAATTCGCTATCGGTTCCATTGGTTCCCTTCTCAACTTTTGATACGAGTCGCTCTTTCCAGCCTTGTGGGATGTCGTAGATGTATTCGGCTGAGGTTTTCTTGTCGGAGTTTCCACCGTAGCCGCCGTAGTTGGCGGCGCTCGCGGCGGTGCCGTAGTATGTGGCGTAGGATTCAGCGGATAGGGCGGGAGGGATGGTGGTCGCTATGATGGTGGCTGCTGCTAATGCGGTTGCAGTTAAGGCGGTGGTGGTTAAGTTTGGTAATTGTAGTTTGGTGGTGGATCGAATAGGGAGGTGGGGAGAGGAGGTGGAGGAGGAGGATGCGGCGGCGACGGTGGTGGCGGTGGTGAGGAGGGCGGAAGGTGAGAAAATGGTGGCCATGGGATCGTAAATTGGATCGTCGAATTCGTTTTTGGCTAAGTTGTTTGTGGGTGGGTGTGTTTATTTGTCAGCTGATGTGTGATAAGAGTGATGGATTTTTCCTTATCCAGAAGTTGGGTATTTAACAATAATGGTCCCTCAATTTTTGGCATGGTGTCGTTTTATGCACAAAACCAAATATACTATCTCACTTGTGCCAAGTGAGTTTTTGCATTGATAAACGATCGTTAAAACATTTGTAATCTTTTATCTTGGTATTATACAATGTTCGAAATAATGTTAGACGTGTTTTGGCATCATGTGTAACGTCCTAAAATTTCAAAGAAAATTTTTCATTCAAAATAAAAGCATTTGTTCCAATTTCATTTTCAAATATCGAATAATAACCATTTGTTCAAAACCAACAATCACGATTCAAATCAAGAGTATCAAAGATAGTAAATCAAAAGTGTGGAAATCTCAAAACATATCCAAGGATGTCATGCAATCACGTCGTGTCATTCCCTTTGCTTCTAGAACAACCTGCAACATTCAACTTAAAACTGTAAACACGAATCTTAGTGAGTTCCACAAAATACTATATACATAGCATGATCCTATGGGTATATTTCAACTCTATAGACACAGCCCATGTGAATGTTATGATTCAACCATAGTCTTACAATCACTTTCGTTGCCACAATCTGACTACAATATTTCCTAATTTGATCTAACAATAGTCTTTCATGCAAGTCACAAAAACAAACAAGCATACCATGACATCTAATGTCCTACATAACATAGTGAGAAGACGCACCTAATCAAAGAGTTGAAATCAACTACATGGAGTCCAAGGAATCAGCTACGCGGACTACCTAATCAATCATAGTCTAAAACTCCGTTAATAACTCAAAACCTCCAATTTGACCAAAAGTCAAATAGGTCAAAAAAAAGTCAATGGTCATTATGTCGTGACCCATTAATAGTCGTTTCATGATCACTAGATGCCAAAATAGTTAGGAAAAACTCAAAGGTCGCGATGTGAACCTTAAGCTTGTCGTGCCACGAAAACTAGCATAACAACCTTCCTCGTTAAGGACTTAATCCATTAAGTTCAGAAACCTAAATCTCATATCTAACTCTTCTAAGTGGCTTAATGGATAAAGTTTCCAACTTTATCCATTCTCATGTCCAAATCTCTTCAAAACTCTAACCCCAACTTTATGATGATCAAAACTCATGCATGGATTAAAGGGAATGAATGCATGAAAATGATAAGTTTTCTATATACTTCATAGATCAATTATCATGGCAGCGGAAACATACAAATTTAATCTAAGGCAAGAAAACTCGAAAACCTACAAGGATCTTTAACTAAATTGATATTAACAACTACAAGATGGATATAATTTACTAACATTTAACATGACCAATTTGGTTAAAGACCTTTGATGTAGATTTCAAATTCTTCAAGAAGCCAAGGAAGAGTAACCAAAGTAGGTTCTAATGGTTCAAACCCAACAATACCAAACTATTTGATGTAAGAAAATAACCCTTGGAACAATAAAGATAGACCAAAGAGTTAAAGAGAGAATAGAAACTCTAAGGATGTTAGAGTATGACAAATTCTAGAAGTACCTGCAGGGGGTATTTAAAGTTTCCGGTTTCTTGGAAAGAACACATATTTGAATAATTAAATAATCATATTTAATTCAAATTCAAATCATTTCCTTATCTATACCCTTGGACAAAAATCCAAGCGTTTATCTCTTATAATTTCGTTCACCCTCTTAAGGGATCCAGAATGTTCCAATTATTCAACTATTGAACAATTAACATTCAGTCAATGCATCTTTTAATTAGAACAATTTAATTTCATATTAGTTCTAATTAATTCCAATTAATTCCAAACTAGTTTCTAATTAATTAATCTTCAAATAAATACTTAATAAATTATTTGTATCTCTCTTTTATAACATTCAAATACTATTTGGTTCATTGAGGGCAACCTAAAAAGGGGCCTATTACTAATGGATAGTCTTACCGATTTACTTATGACATTAGACACTATTCCAACACTCTCTCACTCTGACAAATCATCAACTACATTTGGTCACAAGGCTCCCACTTAATCAGCAAAGTGTGCTTCCTTAGCAATTTTTGGCCTCTGATCATATCAAGAATCAGCCCTTAGATAAGTGATCAATTATTCCTTTGTTTCTAGAAGATATCATTGTGAATTGAGTCATTGATTATAAATCAATCTAACAGTTCAACATCATGTTTTTCGCTTTCCATTTTCTAATGATCAATCAGACTACTATTTGAACACATCAATTTAGTTTGGATCTGGCCAGGTACGTTAAATATCAACACAAAATCGTCGAGTGGCCTAGGGACATCACTTCTCCTGTTAAGGCTGAAGGAACAGATAAACTTTGACTACATAGTTTTGTCTACTTGTTAAATCATGCATGGATTTATCCATTATGACCACCGGTTATGGATAGCGTTAGAGCATGACCTATGTACAACCAAATCGTATGCAAAGAACTCAATGTCTCTCCATTGTAAGAATAAAAGATATTATCATCTTAGAATTACTTGTGATTGAATCTATTAAGTAATCTCTATGAGTGCCAGTTATTCCAATATTTAAATCTTTATTAAATACTCATGAATGTAGTTACATTCTCCATGTTATGTCTAATCACTATAGACATTCTACTAACACTTCATGACAATCTTAAGTCAATACTTACTCCCAAGAGTATAACTGATTGTGGGGTTTTAAATAAACTAATATTCGGGAAGTAGGTTCTAAACATGAAAAAGGAGAACACAGTGATAAAATAACTGAAATGACTGGTCTTTATCGTATATTAAGATCACTACTTAATAAATGCCAAATCAGATTAAGAATTTATATTGCTTAAGTTCTCATATTTAAAAGAACCTATTCAAAGTGGGTTCTAGTCAAATCTTTTGCAAATCAAATGCCTCGTGACCAATTCTTACTACCAGACTTGTTGACTTAGCAAATGAATCGACAAAGTTTTTCTTTCGATATGATTTCATTGACTATGATGCTTCACCTTTGAACAACTATCAAATGTAACTATACTTACTGAGTATAAGTCATGCGAGCTTGTGTGACTTTGGGATCTATAATTGAGGTAAGTTCACCCTTTCAATCACAATAACCTTCAAAAGGACCATCAATGATTGAATTTCAACAAAGATATCACTAATAAATCTCTTTTAGTTACATAGTTTCCTTTGCATTATAATTCATTACAATATACTCTAAGTTTATTGTTAAATCTAATATGGTGTATTTCTTGGTACACTTCCAAGCTAACACTTCACCATTTAATAAAATCACAAATTCCGACTGAAAACGAAATAGTCTTTATTAGTGTGGAACTCAATATCATTGTAACCTTTATATTGATCTCTTCCATACTATGATCATATCCTTTTTCATCCTAGGACACTAAGGAACATACTTGATTTTGATTAAATGATTCTCATCAATTTGATTTGATATGTCCTGTCATGCTCGAGGCATACGAGTCATCAGATTTGGTATGTGTCATGACATACAAGAACTAGGACATTAGCTCAATTTCATGCCACACATTATCAAATATTTCGAGTTACCTCGAGATTTCATGTACTTTAGCTTATCCTAATGAGTTGCTTAGATCTATCTCCATTGATCAACAAATTCAGTATGTGTATTGTTTCTCCCATGTGATTCAAAGGGAAACAATTTTCAAACAAAGGCAAGCTTTTACACTTGCTACGTTAGAACAATGTTTCCCATGAATTGAATATTATGCATATACATTACAATGGTGACAACAGTACTCCTACTAGCATTGACATATGCATGGCTCATCTTCATTTCTCGAAATTCAAACTCCTTGAATATTCTCATTAAAACAAAGATCCTAGTTACTCCCACTAACATTGACACACACACACACACACACACACACACACATATATATATATATATATATATATATATATATATATATATATATATATATATAATAAAAGAATTACTTTTTTGCCAAGTAGCATCCCTTTAGCTCATTTGAAGATAAAGTTAATTTAATAAAATGCCATTTTATTTTGTCAAAATAGGAGTAGTTGATTTCTTTGCTTTCCAACTCATTTTAACTCTTCGTTATGACAAATGGTATCCAAGAAATCATCTCCATTCCGAAAAATCAGCAATTAATGTTTAATCACTAAGAAAATTTGACATACTTTATTATTTATTAGCATAATATGAACCGATTTCATTCCAGTATGCTCATTTGACGTTTAAATAGTTTATCAACAGTTAATATTTATCCAAGAAATCAACGTTGTTGATCTCCTTGCTTCACATGGATTGAAATCTTCCCCATTTCACTTTTTAATCAATCCTAGATTAATTTCTTTTATAACATTCTATCAATAAATTCCTAACAAATCAACACCTTCACCCGACCTTTGGCCTCCTACAAGTAGTATTTTCCCTTTGCACCCTTTCTCTATGACTCCATCGCCAATTGTTTGTTCATTTTCTTGAAAAAATTGATGAAGGTTCGATGGTCCTTACTTTTAGCGAGTTACAACCTTGAAAAATAATGACATATTTCTATTTCTTTGTTTTTACAGGTGTATTAGCACAACAAGATAGTGAACTTCTTTTTTGGAATGGATAATGATTTCATTATCCCTCATTTAATAAGCATTTTGATTTAATTTTTATATCCTCATTTAACACTCACTTATCATGCATAATTCCTTATTTTATCTCTATGTATTTGTTTCATTTTTTTGTTTGCTGGTAATAAGTTTGGTTTTATATTTGGATTCTACTTATATAATGACAGGGCAGGCGGAACAAAACATCCCAAACACCTCCTTAAACATGGACATGTTAATATGAGTTGTCATTTCGAGTATTTTAACATTAGACCTGTTAATTTGTAAAAATCTTTAATGCAAGTACATTGTTG